TCTGTGTAGAAACGTTGTTATCAGAAAATGGTTACCAGGATGGTCTTGGATGAACACTTGTGTCTAGGTTAACTCCGGGAACGCTATTAGAAAATCAACACGCTAACCTTGCAAAATTTTACCTTTCTGTTGTTTTGTAATTACGCATAATCCTAAATCCCCATTTGGGGCCAGGAATCCCTCCCCCACTTTGCTGTATAAACAGAGGGCTGGAGTGCTGACTTTCTTTGTGGACACTGTCTCTCTGGTTTGAGTTGTGTCTCCAGAAACTTCTTTGCTTCGCTCTGTTTCACACAATGTTGGGATTTTTCTCCTATGACATGCATTCAAGAAAGCTGCTTGTTTTCACACATTTCTTATGCTTGCCAACTATACCTATATTAAATCATTATTTAAATACCTTTAGTTTCTAGCCAACAACTTCAACGGCAGTCTTTTATCTTCCAAGGAACCAGCGTCCCTAGCTGTCGCCTCCTGACTCTGAGGACAGTCTAGGCACTAGGGCTGACAGAACTAATTTCGTACAGAATTCAAACATCTGATTCCTGAACTTGGATCCTGGGGTGGCACTGTAGGGTCAGCACTGGACTGAAAACCACCAAGGTCAGTGGTTCAAGCTCACCAGTCACTCCTGGGAAACCCTATACAGGGTTGCTATGGGTCAGAACTGATCAACAGCTCTTACATCATCATCAACAAGAACAACTGTTTGTCCATCCTGGATAGTTCATACACCGTTTGTCCCTTTGTGTCTGACCTGTTTCAGCATCATGTTTTCATGGGTCATCCACGTCAGCACATATGAGAACTCACGTCTCTTTGTGGCGGAGTAGTAATGCACTGTGTGACTCCGTTGTATACACCACACCATTTACCCATTCATCCACTGATGTACACCTGAGCTGTTTACCTTTGGGAACCTGTGTACAATTATCTGTTAGAGTCCTTACTTTTAAATCATGAAGGAATACAACCCCGACGCACACCTTTCCTGATTTTAAACCAGCCGCTGTCTCCTTGTTCTCTCCAAATGACTGTCTCTTGGTCTATGTACAGGTTCCTCGTGAGCAATAATTAAGTGTTCTGGAATATCCACTTTTCACAATATTACCCATAGTTTGATATGATCCACACAGTCAAATGCCTTTGCACAGTCAATAAAGCACAAATAGTCTCTGCTTTCAGCCAAGATCTCCTGACTCAGCAATGGCACCCTGCGTTCCACATCCTCCACTAAATTCACCCGGAGCTGCTGACACCGTCAAGTCCGCTCCGACTCATAGCGCCCCTGAGTAGGGTTTCCAAGCAGTGGCTGGGGGGATATAAACCACTGACCTTGTGCCTAGCAGTCCAGTGCTTACCCTACAGTGCCACACGGCAAAATGGTCTTTTAGCTCTTCCTGTATTTTCTAACTAGAATTTTTTGTGCCAAATTTCTTTCAACTATTTGATTACTCTGAAAGTTACTGAATTTTTTTAAATGTTTTTTATGCATTTACTGACATTTTTTTCTTATTTTAACTCCAGACATCGTGTTTCTGCCATTCGAGCCCTCTTGGCATGAAGGCTACTTCGGCAAGGTAAGACATTCCTTCAGTAACCCTGCTGAATCTGATCTGGGCGTTTATCTAAGACTCCTGTTTATTACCGTCATTAAGTACTGATAATGGTCTTTTATGCTCGAATACTCAATTTCTGATGTGCTCGCTTTTCAAGATAGATCGCTCTCTAACTTAGATACTATTTCTCATATGCGGAAATGATTGATTCTTGCGATTTTCCTTCTAGAGACAATTCTTAAGATAATTTTTACCAAATCTTCAGTGGTTGTTATTCATCAATTTTTTTTTCCTTGAAAACTCCAGTTTCATCACGATTTTAAAAATTCATTAGCATTTATATGTGCGTAAGTGAACTGTTGGTGTTGTGAAGTGCCGCTGAGTCAGTTCCACTAATAGGGTATACGGTGGCCCTGTATAGGGCTGTCCTGTATAGGGCGGCCCTGTATCGGGCGGTCCTGTATAGGGCGGTCCTGTATAGGGCGGCCCTGTATAGGGCGGTCCTGTATAGGGCGGCCCTGTATAGGGAGGTCCTGTATAGGGTGGCCCTGTATAGGGCGGCCCTGTATAGGGAGGCCCTGTATAGGGAGGTCCTGTATAGGGAGGTCCTGTATAGGGAGGTCCTGTATAGGGAGGTCCTGTATAGGGCGATCCTGTATAGGGAGGTCTTGTATAGGGCGGCCCTGTATAGGGCGGCCCTGTATAGGGAGGTCCTGTATAGGGCGATCCTGTATAGGGAGGTCTTGTATAGGGCGGCCCTGTATAGGGCGGCCCTGTATAGGGTTTCCAAAGAGCAACTGGTGAGTTTGAACCGCTGACCTTGCGGTCTAGTGCATTAACTAACAGCGCCACACCAGGACTCCATATATATAATGTGTGTGTGTATAAATATATATATATACATATATATATACATATGGTGTTGGAGGAGAATATTGAAAGTGCCATGGGCTGGTAAAAGAACCAACAGATCTGTGTTGGAAGAAGTGCAGCCAGAGTGCTCCTTGGAGGCCAGGATGGCCAAACTTCATCTCTCATATTTCCGACATATTGTCAGGAGGGACCAGTCACTGGAGAAGGATATCATGTTTGGTAGGGTGGAGGGTCAGAGAAAAAGAGGAAGACCCCCAATGAGATGGACTGGCCCAATGGCAGCATCCATGGGCTCAAGCGTGGTAACAATTGTGAGGTGGGCCCAGGATCGGGCAGTGTTTCCTTCTGTTGTGCATAGGGTCACTATGAGTTGGTACCGACTCGATGGCACCTAACAGTAATAAGTATACACACATATATAACTTAGTGTATATATAATTCCTCTTTCATCTTGTCACTATATTGCCTTTATCACTTCACTTTGTTCATTTCTGTCCTCAATTCCATTTTGCAGAAGGCTGCCTAATTTATTTTAATCTTACATTTGAAGAATCCTCTTGGATTTTTGATGCTAGTAGAAACCCCACACCCAGCCCGTACATTTTGCCCTTTTGTATTCTACCCGCTCCCCTTGCCTGGGCAGGGCTGAGTGCTGTGTGTCCCAGAGGCCCAGGGACCCAGATGTAAGGTGGCATCAGCACAGGCACCAGAAAGGCAGGGGTTCCTATCACTCCCAGATCCCTCACGTGCCGCACCACCTGCCCCAGCCCTGCCCCCGGCCTCCAGCTCAGCCCCAGCTGGCTCCTGGAGGGCAGCAAGTAATCCTGCCCCAGGCCCTGTCTGCATGTGTCCAGCCAGGGCCTACGGCCAGAATTAACGTGCTGCCTGCAAAATCTGGTAGGTACACACCGGACTACAAACCCCAAGGCTGGCAACTAGAGCCGCTCTGGGGGAGAAAGATGAGGCTTTCTGCTCCTACAAAGATTTAAAACCTCGGAAACCCTAAACAAGGTTGGAATTCAGTCGAAACCAACTCGATGTCACTTAACAACACAGCAAAGCATAACTCAGGTCCACTCCAGACTTGGCCTCGAGGGGTCATCTTGTCCACAGCACATCAGACAACAGGGGAGACGTACGTGTGTGTGTGTGTGTGTGTGTGTGAGAGAGAGAGAGAGAGAGAGAGTGGGAGTCTAAGTGTGTGCGTATATGTGAGGGGGCGTCTGTGAGAACGTGTGTGTGGCAGTGTAGATGTATATGTCTGAGTGTGGCAGAATGTGGGTATATATTACAGAATGTGCCTGTGTGTGTCAGTATGTGTGTGTGAGAGGAAGGGTGTGCTGTTGTATGTGTGTGTGAGTGAGGGTGTGTGTGTTAAAAGAAAGGGTGTAGTGGTTGTGTGTGTGTAGGTGTGGATGTGTGAAAGAAAGTGTGCAGGGGTTGGGTATGATAGTGTAGGTGAGTGGTGTGTGAAACTACAGTGGCTGTGTGTGTGTGTGTGTGTGTGTGTGAGAGGAAGCATGCAGTGGTTGTGTGTGTGTGTGGCTGTGAGAGAGCATGAGACTGGTAGCTTCACAGCACTTGCTCTGAAATCATTTGTAATTATTTGTTTTGAAAGCATTTTCTGATGAAGTGTTGCAGCCACCATACATGTGACATGCAGGACCTCCGTGTGTGCTCTGTCCTACTCACAAGTCTCGGCACAGCACTGTACCCTCTTGTCAGCAGAGTCCCCACCGTGGGCAGCCGCTCGGGGGTGGCTTTCCTGGTGAAGCCGCCCCACCCTGCCTCGCTGCGTTCCCGCCACTGTCCGCTCCTTTTGTCCAATTTCCTAGCATGTTTGCTTTCTTGTTATCTGATGGTACGTGTTTCCAAGAGACCTCCAATCCTACTGTGAACAGCGTGGTGGATAAAGTGGGGGTGCTCTCGCCTGCACGTCCCACCCCTCTCAGGCTTTATTGTGTGTCTGACTTCTGTAGTCAGCTGCTTAGCTGACTCTGTTCTGCTGATCACATGAAAGGCTGGAAACTTGATGTCACTTCAGAGCATGGTGACATCTTACACAGAGGCAGGATGTTCACTTTCTAAGTGGTTACAGTTCTCTGCTTGATTTGCCCTGGGACATAGCTCTTTCTTTGAAATTCTGAGACGGTTTGCTATCCTAAGTGTCTGGTATCGGTTCTCAACTTGAGGGCAGTTGAAGGCACAGGAGCAGAGAGGTCCGCGGTGCGTTCAGTTGGACATGACTAGAGAGGAATGAAGGCTTTGTGCTCAGCGGGCCGGAAAGGAAAGTGTGCTTTGTTCTAAGGGCCTAAAGTGTTGTGAAGGGTGGTACCGGACTGGGGGCGAGGGGGGCGCGCCCCTTCCCTCGGGATCTCAGCAGGCCTCGACTCCAGCAGCCACACCACAGCCACCCAGCAGGGCAGCCACGGGCCCAGTCTCCCCAGGACTGACGGGTCACCCCACAACCAGGCAGGCTCAGGGTGGGGAGAGCCCTACTGTGGCAGCTGCTACCAGCAGCCCTTCCGTCCTCATGGAGCACCTGGGCCGCATCTCCAGATCACGTACCTCCTCGTCCCCGGGCTCTGGGCACTGACAGAGCCACGAGGTGTCCACCAGCTTCCCCAGTTGCACGTCCATCTCCGCGAGTGCTGCCGCGAGCCGCTCCTTCTGAGGGGCATCCAGCTGCTGCTCGGGCCAGAGGCAAGAGAGTCAGGGCCCTGGACAGGAAGTGTGCTCCGGGCAGAGCAGCCCATACAGAGCTAAACTTGGAAGCTCGCCTTTGGGAATTCTAGAGCAAGATGCCTGGGACTCACATCTACAGGGGGCTTCATTTGCCTTGGGGACCCTCCCCACCAAAGGGGCAGGCGCAGCTCTCTGCACGCAGCATGCAGGCACCACACCGACTGAGGTGGAAGCAGCTGCGGTCACATCTCAGGAGGCAGTAAGGGGGGGGAGTATGCGCTAGATCTGGGGGCGCCCCGGGCTTAGGACCTGGCGCGAGTCCCTTCATTCCTCAGGCTTTCTTCCTAAAGCATGAGGCCTCCCACCCACCAAGCTCACCAAGGTCAACTAAGTACTGGTCAGTCCTGGAGGTGGTGAGGAGGGGACAGGGCCCTGTGATTGAGAATGAGGTCAGCCTGGGACACCACCCCACCTGCGACTTCTCGTCTGTCTAGAGTGACAAGAAGGTGGCTGCCACTGACGGCTTCTATCACCCTCGAGGCTGCGTGGCCGCACACAGTCAGACCCAGGGCCCTCCCACACGGCACTTGAGAACCCAGAGCCAGGATCCCAGCAGAGAGCGCAGCTGCTGTCTCACCAGGGCCACCTTGCCGGCCAGCAGCAGTTCCGTCTCGCTGCGCAGCGCTTTGATGTTGTTCACCATCTCCAGGATGAAGCTGCAGTTCAACCCCTCAGAGGCCCGGGGTTTGCCGTAGACACGATCCATGGCCTTGGAGCTGGCGTTCACGGCGTGCGCCAGCTCTTGTTCCATGTCCTGGTACGACTGTGCGATCTCCCGGATGCTGCAGAGACAGGGGGGCGTGGTGCCCATCAGAACACAGGACCACGTACAGACACGGGCCCCAGCGCTGGACGCCAGTGACCAGCAGAGGAGAGATCTTCCACAGGAAACCCGACAGAAAAAAAAAACCACCTTTTTCAGAGAGTCTACCACCAGACCATACACGTGAGATACTACAAACAAGACACGCAGCCTGGAGGACAGTAAGTGTCCAGGGGCCCGGCCACAGGTGATACCAGGGCCCCTGCCATCAAGCTGATCCCGACTCCCTCACAGCGTCACCACGGCTGCCATCTTTGTGGAGCAGACTGCTGAATCTGTCTCCTGAGGAGCGAGCGGCTGTTGGGTTCAAACCACACACATTTTGGTTAGCAGCCCAGCGCTTACTCACTGTGCCACTAGGGCTCTTTAAAGGGACCAAAGGTCCCATAATATGCCCACAAGGGCCCTCCGAGCAGCTGTACCTGTCCCACTCCCGAAACAGAGGCCTGGTCTAACAAGGATTCCTGCAGCATCTGCAGTGGTAAGCAGCCACTACTAACCATGGGTCGGCCGTTTAAACCCACCAGCCACTCCGTAGGACAAAGGTCCCGTAGACTGCTGCCGTTAACAGTGACGGCCTTGGAAACCCTCTAGGCACGTCCACCCTGTCCCGACAGCAGAACAAGGCTGCCATTTGATTTGGGTTTATATAAATGAAAAGTAACAGAAGACGATCATCAGCGGGTCTGAACTGACCACAGCCGGTGGTCGCCTCCTTTGGCTGCTAGCCTTTGGATGCCAAGCAGAAGGGGGGTGGTTTAAGTACACTCACCCATATGCCTCAGATGAAAGGCTTATGTGTGAGAAAGCAACCATGGAAAAGGCTCTGAAGCACACGTCTGCTCTGACATTTGGGGCCCCCATGACTGGGAACCCCTTCCACGGCCACTGATTGCTTAAAGGAATGTAAGTGAGGGGCCCAGAAAGGCAAAGTGAAGGGGGCGCTAAGGAGGCAGGTCAGATTCTCCTCCCCTCTGCGGGGTCTGACGAGCCCAGGCAGGCAGGGTGCTGAGAGCTGCCCTCGTGCACTGACCCCCTCCCAGGGCCAAGGGACGCCCACCTGTGGATGAGGGCTCCCGCCGCCTGACCAAACTGGCTCATCTGCGTGGACTCCTCCTCAGACAGGACCTCAGGGTGCAGCGAGAAAGAGGGGGGCCGTGGCAGTTCACACTTCTGTTTGTCCTCCCAGGATTTGAGGGTGCTCTCAAAGGCCTGGGGTGGGCACAGTGCAGTTACTTTCCCCCATCCCTCCAGAAAGAACCCACGCACACCTGACACGCTTTCTAGTGTGTGCTGCTAGGCACAGGCCACGCCCACTCACTGGGGTGTGGCTTGCTCTGTGCTAAGACCAGCTCTGTGGCATGGCATCGAGAGAACCACTCGGGCCAATTGGCATCCGAGTCTCCAGCTGCTGAACGAAGAAGGTGCACGCATCTCCTGCAGGAACCAGCGCCAGTGGGAAAGACGGCTGCAGCTGGACCCTGCCTTGTCCCTCCCCTACAAGCGACACTGACTCAGCCCCTCCCAATGGACCTCGGTTGCTCCTCTTGGAACCTGCAATCCCTGAGTGAATGCGAGCCCACCACTCAACACACACGGTGCCCTCCTACTGCATTATTTACGAACAAGGGTTAACAGGTCATTCTGAGCCACAACAAACAGCCTTCGGAACCGGAGTTCATTTTTCTATCCGGCAGGTAATCGCAGCAAATCCTGATGTAGCACTGTAGGATAAGCACTGGGCTGGAAACCACAAGGTCAGTGGTTCAAACACACCAGCTGCTCTCTGGAACCCCAAAGAGGGTCACTATGAGTCAGAACTGACTGGACAGCGCTTAACAATAACAAAAGGTCCTAAAAATAAACCCTACGGAGCCCTTTTCCTGGGGGCAGCTAACATGCAGGCTCATGTCCATCCAACACCACACCTCCCATCTCTCTGAATAAAACTTTACTGCCCCAGACCGCAGAGACAGCGCAGCTTCTGTTGGAGACCACCACAATAAAGCAATCAGAGACAGGCACCCACACCTGGGGGGTCCCCGGGCACAGAGAGTGATGTGAGCACACTAGGTGTTGTGCACTGTTGTTAAGAGCCGTCGAGTCAATTCTGACTCATAGTGACCCGGTACGGGGTTTCCGAGGATCGGCTGTGGGTCTGAACCTCCAACTTTGTGGCTTGCAGTCCAGTGCTTATCCAACAGCCCAATACCAGAGATATGGTGCACGAGCAGGAGGAAAAGTGGGAAATCCCAGGAGACTGACCCGAAGGAGGCACTGCCAAGGGGGCACCAAGGACCTGCTCAAAGCAGGACTGTCACAATCTGTGGGGAAGCGCGGCAGAACCAGGTCGGCCTGCACAGAAAACTGCAGACCACAGAGGCAGACCCCTTACCCGGTCCCTGGTGAGCGTCTGCGCCCGGTTCTTGTGAAGGATGCGGATGTAGCCTGGAGGCTGGATCCAGGCCTCCCCGTCCACCTGCACAGGGACGCCCTCATCACCCAGGATAGAGATCCTTACGGTGCGGCACTGCGGACACAGCAGCCATGGTAACAGGAGCAGCACGTGGCCAGACTGCCACCAAGGTCCCACCCGACCCCAAGTCCATGCTGCTACCTGGGCAATCCGGTGATGCTGCAGCTTAATCACCCGCGACACCGCCATCTGCATACTGCCAAACACGGCCACCACCTCCAAGATCTTGTCATCGAACGACGGGGCGGCGAAGGTCTGCAAGGCAGGGCAGGGCAGGGCTGACCGCCACCCAGCATGGCTAGACGCGCAGCGCCCTACGCCCCCATTCCCACCCTGTGCCTGGCTTTCCTTTCGGCTATTTGGTGGAGAACTGAGCTCATGGCCAGGTGTGTCCTACCTCACCCAGGGCCACTGGGCACATCCACCACAGGTGTGCCCTACCTCACAGGCCCTGTCTCCAGCTGCCTGGCCGCTGACTAGCCCAGGTGGTCTTAACAAGTGACTTTATACTCACTCTCCCCACATCTGTAAATAGGGTAATATGGGCATATACTCTAGGGGTGGTCACGAGGAGGAACAAGTAGAGCGCAGCGGCTACACCAAGGGACCCTCTCATCCGTCACGTGGATACAAGCAGCGCTTCCTGGGCTAGAGCCGGGCACCGCCTCCCACCATTCCCACGCCACAGTCTCAATGCCTCAGCCTTGTTCACAAAACCTCATGGGATCTGGGCCCTGGTGATTCTGCCCCCATAGTCAGCGTAACTGAGTCTCCACACACTTCACCTTAACGCACCTCAGGGCCCTCACCTATACAGTTCCCTGTCTGGAACAGCTCCCCACCCACCCCCTTCCTCTTAAGCTTCCCCAGCCATTGCTCTGGGTGGGGTCTGCCCTCAGACCACCCTCATTACACTTATCTAGACAAGGAGTCCCCGAGGCAAAGGCCCTGCGAGTGTCGGCATGCAGACCATGAAGGCCCCGTCCCAGCCCCAAGCCCATCCCATCCAGACCCCCCTCTACGTACGTCATCTTCCTTGGTGCCCCCCCAGAAGTTGGTCCCTCCGGCGTAACTGGGAATGTTAAGGACAGCAATTCCCTGAAGACTGGGAAGGGGTATTGGGCGCCCATCACACTGAGGGGAGGAGAGAAACCACCTCGTCACCAAGGGCACCGGGTTAGAGTGGTGCCTTGTGGGAGAGCAGAGCCAGCTGAAGGCGAGCTGAGGGGGAAACCGCTCACCTCCAGCAGAACCTTCTGCTCCAGGTTCCGGTAGGTTCTGTGCAGCAGCTCTTTGGTCCCCAGAACTCCGTACCACATCATGTTTTTGGTTCGACTCCTAGGAACAGAGCAGAGAACAGTCCTGGTTCTTGGCCTTTGTAGAGTTCACTGTACCCGTAACTGTCGCGTCTAGAATGGCTTCAGGTCACAGACCAGTCAGCCTCACACCAACACCACCCAAAAATGAGCAAGGACACGTTCTTGCTTACAGACTGTTAAGTGCCATCAAATTGGTTCTGATTCACAGGGCTTCCGAGAAGAGGTTGGAGAGCAGTCCAGTGCTTATCTTACAGTGCCACACCAGATAAGGCTCACAAAGCCCAAACTCATTGCCATGGAGTCTATGTGAACTCGCAGCGATCCTGTAGGGCAGAGTGGAGCTGCCCCATGGAGTTCCCAAGGCTGTAACGCTAAGCAGCAGACTGCCTCGTTCTTCCCCCATGAAGTGGTTGGTGGGTTCCTAGTGCCAACCTTTTCCTTAGCAGCTACAGGCTAAAGCATTGCGCCACCAGGCCTCCTCAGACCATTTGTGCCTCAGTAGATGTGTGTCTACCAAACCCAAAGCAAACCTGATGTCGAATTGATTTCAATTCACAGCAGCCCTCAAATACTGAACGGCTCCAAACGGCTTTATGGAGGCCGACTTCGCCCAAAGAACGGCTGGTGGGTTCCAGGCACTTTACACACTGTGCTACCAGGCCTGCTCCATTCTGGGATGAGCAGCAGTATTTTTCAGGATTTGTGTTTACCCTCCTGTGCTGGCGAACAGACATCCCTGGGGACCTCAAAGCTATTTCCTGCACTGAAGGGTTTTTGAGTTCTGAATGTTTGCTTTTCAGCTTCTTTAGAAATTTCCAACTACACAGAACTTTAGAAATCTCTGCAGTGACTCCCCAAATTCTGAGGGCTGCCCCTCCTATGCCACTCCTCAGTGCTTCCCTCAAGGTGATGGGGGCCCACAAGTGGGCCCACGACTGACCCCTGATGGACACAAGCAGGCAGGACTGAGTGCTCGCCAGCAGGGGGCACCTCTGGCTCCTTGGTGTAAATGCTTAAGAACACCAAGGCAGGATGAGAGGAGGATTCCCGGATTCCCCAGGATTCCCCACGCCTCCTGTTTGCACACGAGGGGAGGGAACTTCTACTTTTCATTTCTCTTGGTCCACTCCCCAGGCCAAGCAGAGTCAGCAAGTGGCCACCTCAGAAAAACTTCCTCAAGGTTGGTCTCCCACAGAGAGTGGGTCAGAGACGCCGCCCCCCCAGCTCTGCCTGGGCCTAGGGATAAGGGGCTGGGAACTCCTGGGGCTGGTCCACTAACACTTCAGCCAAGTCTACCACAGATCAATACCCCTGACTCCAATGACAACAATGCTGCTTGTCTCATATCGACTGTCACCACCGGGTAAATCCCATGGTGGAAACCCCTTCCAAGCTGGTTTCCTGGGCTGTGACCTGCCCACCCACAGCCCTGAGAAAGACCCCCCGCTTCTGACCACAGGCCTTCACACTTGGTCTGTTCTCAGTCTTTGCTGTCTGTAGTCTCTCTCTCACCCACTGACCCCAGAGATGCCCTTCCTGTCTGAAAGGAGAAACAAGGACAACACACTGGGTCCACGTGGCCGCAGTCAAGGCCCCACCTGCATTTCTCTGGGTGCTCGTCACGCTTGTTGTTGAAATCCAGGGAGATCTTCGCATCCAGGCCGATGCCAAAGTAGTTGTTCATGACACACTTCTCTGTGTAATACTCTCTACAAAAGACAATGTCAAAGCCATTACGAGCAGCCTGGCCAAGTGGCCTCTTCCCTGCCTCCCAACCGGGAAACATGTCTTCCTCACACCAAACTAGGGATTGCTTTTTGGAGGGAATACGTTTATGGAGGTTATCACTGAAATACCGGACACAATCCACCCATTAAAAGGTTTTATTATATCCCAAGTCATGCAGCCATTGCCAGTTTGAGAAACCCCATAACCTCAGCTCCCAGTCATCTCCTTCCTGTCTCTGGAGTTGCCTTTCTGGGACATTTCATATCAACAGAACCCTGTAGTATGTGTCCACGTGTGTCAGACTTCTTTTATGTATTAGTCCTCAATGCTGCTTTCTTACTGGCTGGACAACAGTCTATTGTATGGATTTGCCAGGCGGTTGTCCATTCACCAGCTAATGAACATTTCGGTTTTTCCATTTTTTGAGCTATCACAACATTGCTAGGAACACTTACGTGTAAAAGTTACAGTGTGGACATAGGTTTCATTTCTCTTGGGGATAAACCCAGGAGTGGAAATTCTGGGTCACAGAAATGTAGACTATCAATCACTACTAATGTCCAGTGGATCGTGGCTGAATGCAGAGAATCCTAGAAAGCTGTCTCCCTGGGTTTGATTGACTATGCAAAGGCCTGTGACTAGAACCTGACACCCTGTGGATAACGTTGTGAAGAACAGGCATTCCAGAACTCTTCACTGTGCTCACAAGGAACCCGTACAGAGATCAAGAGACAGTCATTAAAACAGAACAAGAGGACACAGCATGATTTCACATTAGGAAAGGCGTGTGTCAGTGTTGTGTTCTTTCCCCATGCTTATTCAATATGCTGAATGCTGAGCCCATAATCCCAGAAGTTAGAATAGATGAAGAATGCGCAGTCAGTACTGGAGGAAGACACATTAACAACCTGCAATGTGCAGATGACAGAGCCTTGCTCACTGAAAGCCAGGAGGACTTAAAACACTGAAATGATGAAGATCAAAGACTATGGCCTTCACTGCTTTGAGTGTGGTTCACAAAGGGGATAATTTTCAACCATGCTCCTGAAGTGGACATGTTGCAAGTTCAAGGTGTCCTCACCAGCTAGCAATGACTCCGGACTCATTTCTCTAGTTAATTCTGAAATCCATTTCCTGTGTTCCACATTCTTTTCATAGTAGGCCCAGCGGGGTCACCCTCATACTCACAGACTTTCTGGCTCGGAATTAAAGGGGTCAGCATTAATTAGCAATCGACTGATGACAGACCCTCCAGGCAAGGACCCGGACATCCCCGCCCGAACATCTGGAGGGGAGACAAAAGGAGAGGCACGCCAGTCAGGCCCACAGAATGAAGAGAAACTGGTGTCTTCAAGGCTGATGGACAAGTATCGTTCAGAACATCCTAAAAAAAATGTTTTAAAAGTGTACAAACATGTCCAAAGGGCAGCTCAAGGCCGACATCACCATCATCAAGCCACATTCACTGAATCAAAACACTCCTGATTCCTGGGAGACTCATGAACACAGCTGAGATAATGGGGCGTCCCAAGGAATCTAAGTCCTGTCGCACCTTCCAGGAACCCTGGTGGAGTAGTGAGGTGGGCAGGCTGCTAAGTGAAAAGGTCAGCAGACCAAATCCACCAGCTGCTCCACATGACAAAGATGAGGCTTTCTGCTCTCAGATAAAGACAGGCAATCGCAGAAACCCTACACAGGGTCGCTAGGCATCGGATCGGACTCGGTGGCAGTGGGCTTAGTTTGGTCACACCACGCCACAGACAAGCTTCATGAGAGCCATCCCAGGTGGCCAGAATCCTCAAGCTGCCTGCCCCAGTTTAGAACTGTTTGGAACATTCTACAATCCACTCTTTCAAACACCATCTTGTCACTGATCCAATTCACTTGACCCTCCTCGCTAGCCCCATGGCCTAAGAACGCCAGGAATTTTCTGCCTCTTCATTTCAGATTCCATCTAGAAATGGCCACATTTCATCCAGGAAAAAGACCCGCTGTGGGGTGTCTGGCCGGGCTAAGGTGACCTCCAGCATCTGCGTAAGGCTGGGAGTTACTAGAAGTCAAAGGCCGGTGTTCGTGGAACTTTCTGGCAACGTGAACCCTGAGTACATGCCCTCCTCTCGACGATGTCTCCCTGAACTCCCTCCGTCAGTCATGTGGGCACCAGCTGCTCTGTGTACAGAAGGGTACTAACACAGTGGCAGGACGTTCTGAACTGTGCCTCCCTTCCCCCACAGGACCTGGCCTGAAGGTGCCAGGCAAATGGCTGGGTGCACCCCTCTAGGACTGTGGGACAGCCTCCTCTGGCTAACATGCCACTCACGTGGGTACAGGGTCTTCGTGTTCAGCACTGGTAAGGCATCCCGGCTTCCTGTCTGGGGAGGGAGAGATGCCGAGCTGCCCAGAGACAGGCTTCCTTTGTTTATCAGCTTCTCACATGGGGATTTGGACACTGAAAACGGGAGAGAAAGGCGTTAAGACCACCCAAGGTAGACCGTTACTGACGTCTTGAGAGTCAGAGGCACTGAAGAATGAGCAGACTGCTCCGGCAGGGACAGGGACGGCCTGGTGTGAGGGAATGCAGGTGGTGGGAACTGGAGTTAGAACCCTGAGGCAGCTCAGACTGCATGAGGATTAATCCCCATCAGTGTGGCTGGGAGACCCAGGCCCCCACCACGACGGCAGAGCTGAGGCGGGGGGGGAGGGTCACAGGTAGCCACAGTGGGGACCTGAGGGAAGCAGATGAGTGGACACAGGCACACTCCTCAGATATTCCAGAATCATGACTTTCACCCGCCATGACATGAGCACACATGGGTGAGTCCGGACGACAAGCCGTGGTTGTGAATTTCTACTGGGCAAAGTGCCTGTGTCTGAGGACCCTGGCCATGGCTTCCGAGGGGGGCTCCGCCAGGACCACACAGAGGCCGGCTGGTACCTTTGCGGTGGCTCCTGCCTTTAGAGACCCCGCAGTTGTCGCTAGCAGGTGGTGGCGGGCCCACCCTGTCCTCCATCCTTGGGTCCTTCTTTTCCTCAGACTCGGAGAGACCTGGGATGAAGTCTTCCTGCTCCTGAGTCTGGGCATTCTGCTCATCGACGGCTGTGTGAGGAGAGACGCACAGCTCAGTGTGGAGAACCAGGCCGTCGTCTCCCCTGTCCCTCACAACCCAGTCTCCTTTTAGCGTCCCCTCTGGTTCCACCCCCACCCTAGTCACAGCCTGATGAACTCCATCTGGTCCACCCGCACGGTCGGGGAGAGCGGGGCTCAGTCACCTTTTTCCGTGTGCTCGATGATCTGACGGATGGCTTTCTTCAGGCTATTGGCCCTGAGCATGAGCTGCTCTCGTGGCCGGAAGAGTTGTGGCCGGGTGGGGCAGGCCGAGCCCACCGGGCGGTCCCCCGATGAGCTGCAGAGGCTGCCGGGACTGTCCCCGTCTTCCACCTCCTCGGCGATGGTGGGCGGTGGGTTGGGTAGAGAGGATGAGGCCTGGGACTCATCGTCCAAAGTCTTGAGGAGAGAGTCCAGCTTCTCCTTCAGGACAGAGCACTGGGGGGAGGGGGACAAGGCAGAGTGGTGGGCGCGTCCTCTCACCCATCACTCACCACCCCTCCCCGGCCCCAGTGCAAGGGACCCTGGGAGCGGACCTTCTTGGCCATGACCTCCGACTCCTCCGAGCTCTCAGTGGTTTTCTCGTAGGCCTTCCCCACGCGAGCCACGAAGTCCTTCACGGTCTCACAGAGCACTCTGAAGAGATATATGGGAGGACACATCTAGAGAGTTCTAGCTGGGAACCATGGCGAGTGCCCTCCCCATCCGTGCCCGCAGCTCACTTAGCTGAGGAGATCACCACCGAGTGCTGGTCGGACGTCAGGATTTTTGAGAGATGGGCTGCGACCGAGTCTTCATAGACAAGGATCTGCTGGACCTGGAGGCCCCCCAAAACAGGACTGTGGGTTCCATGCCCCATGTCCTAAGTGGGCCGGCTCAGAAGGTGACTCTTCTAACATGCACTGTCTCTCTGGGCATCACTTGCTGGCCTAGACCTGAGGGGACAGCCTGGAGGACATCATGGGCTCTGTCCGTCTACTGGCTGTGGGCAGGCCATGCCAGGGAGCGGCTTCAGCCAGAACGAGCTTCCTAGTAAAATCAACGCCTGCATGGGATCACGCGCACTCCTCCACGTGGGATCACACTCAGTCCTCCACGTAGATCACACGTAGTACTCCATGTGGGATCACACAGTGCTCCACGTACAGTGCTCCACGTGGATCATGTGCAGTCCTCCACATGGGATCACACAGGCAGTCCTCTATGGTAAGTAGTTGCTAAGAGTGGGACAGTTGACCTCACTGCATCATCAGATCCCCCAGCTGCTGGGCAGGGCTCCTAGCTCCCAGAAGCAGGGTCTTCCTGCCTGGAAGCGGGACCTACCTCAGAGTCTTCACTGAAGTCCTCGGTGACGGTGGAGGAGGAGGCCTGCCTCGGGAGCTTGGTCTCGTACGCCATGATGCTCCACCTAAGCACACAAGGACCCTCAAGAGTGGCCCCACGCCTGCTCCCCTCCCAGGGCCTCAAGCTGAGAACTGGTAACTTCAACTTGAGAAGGTTTCCGTATACTGTAAAAGGGACGCTCTGACTCCCCACTTAGCTGAGAACAAGCATGTCTAGTTCTCAGCCCAGAGAGCAGACAGCTCGGTGGAATGAGCTGGAATCTGGCCCATGAACAGCTGTCCTGGAGGTCAGCTGCTGCTCCCGGAGAAGCGGGTTGACTTACCCTTTTCCAAGAGCTACCAGATCTCTCTGAGGAGCCAGCTCGAGAGGTGTGATCATTCCACGGGAGCCCAGGGCGCTATCCCAAACAGTGAGGGCGTCTGTCCTCCCCATACACCCACCACGCCTTGATATGAACCCAAGAGTCCTTGAGACAACACAAGTCACTTCCTCAAGGCCCATTTTGCTCAGAGCTAAAAGTGTGTCACTGGAGAACAGTGATAAAGGACGTTTAAGCCCACTGAGGGACCACACAGGGGACACTGAACTCTGGGATTTGTAGGAGGGGTACTCTACTGACAGGACCAGGTCCTGAGCTGAGGCACGATTGCCCCCCCCCGGCCCTACCCCCAGCCCTGACAGACGCACAGCCAACCTCTCCTGGAGACCTGGGTCGTGGCTTCAACCATCTTGAGGGATGAAGCCTTCCCCAAATCTGATGAAAAACTAAAGACTCAGAAAACAGGGGTGGATGCTCAGAACCAATCTTCCCAGGAGTTTCAGGGGGCCGGAGGCTACTTGGTCACGGTACCTGTTTCTAAAGCACACTCACCTGTCCAGCATCTTGGTGCTGGCCCGCTCGAGCTTCTCCAGGATCTGGGGGAGCTGCGTGTCATCATCACAGGCCGAACCCCAGCCCAGCACGCGTGCCAGGTCATTCCCGGTCCCCAGGGGCAGCACACCCAGCTGACACTAATGAGACAGCAGGGAGAGTGTGGGTGTGTGGCACCTGAGACAAGACCTCTCACCCACCCAAACCCACTGCTGTTGGCAGGGTCCCTACTCATAGCGAACTCTAGGACAGAGAAGAATTGTTTCTTAGGGTTTCTGAGACCGTACATCTATCTTTGCAGAAGCAGCCAGCCTTCTCCTTCTCCTGCGGAACAGTTGGTGGGTTTGAACCGTCAACCCCATGGTTAGCAGCCCAACGTCTAACCCACGGTGCCTAAATGATGGCTATGAGATTAGCCCTGAGCCCTCGGGTGACAACAGGGATCCAGTCTCTAACCTGTGAACCTAGCTAGGCTGCGCGCCAGGCAGAACAATGTGACCTCCAAACTCAGGGGCTGCCCCTGAGGGCACTTGGTAGAAACTGTTCTTTCATAATCGTCCAGCAAGTCTATGGGCAGTGTCTTCCCAATAGCAAGGGCTCACTTCGTGTCTGTGTTCCATTCTGGTCATTCTCACAATGTTCCAAACTTTCTCAGCATGTTACTGCACACTTCAAGGAGCTCTGGTAGCGAAGTGGTTAAGAGTCGGGCTGCTAATCTCAAGGTCAGCAGTTCAAAACTATCAGCCATCCCACAGGAGAAAGATGAGGCTTTCTGCGCCCGTAAAGATGTACAGCCTCAGAAACTCTATACGGGGTCACTGTGAGTCAGAACCGACTCACAGCAGACTACCACCACTATAGGATAAGCTGTAAACCGCAAGGTAGGCAGTTCAAAGCCACCAGCCGCTCCTAGGAAAGCTTATACAGGGTTCCCATGAGTCAAACACTGCACACTTCAGGAGCTCTGGTGATGCAATGGGTTAAGCCAAACTATAGGTCACTGGTTCAAAACCACCAGTTACTCCCCAGGGGAAAGATGCAGCAGTCTGTATCTATAAAGATGTACGTACAGCCTCAAAAACCCCACAGACACTTCTGTCCTATGGGGCCACTGAGTCAGAACTGACTGGGCTGAGTTGGGTTTGGCATTTTAGTTGAGCAAAATCTACAAAGATCAGCAAGAAAGACGGGATGTGGGGAAAGGACAATTTTGGTGGCTCCGGGGTGGAATTCTTGGCTTTCTGTGGAAGACTTGACTCCATTCCTGGCCAGCATAACTCAAGTAGGGTCAGCAGCCGCTGCAAGCAGACAAGGGTGCCCACCCAACACCGGCCGCAGCTGCGCTTTAACTTTGCCACAGCACTTCCCTGGCCTTGGGCTCCACCCACCTGTCCAGCCGGGTACCTGTTTATGTAAATTGAGGCTGTCGATTTCAGACAAGACCCAGCCAACACTGCCGTCCCCTCCACAGACCAGAATCCGGAATGTGTCAAATTTCTGGAATAACCGCAACCTGCAGATAAGAGAAAGTGCAAGAAAGGCTGTTTGTTCTCCAGAAGACTGGCTTGTTTTATCCCATGACGCGGTCTCTCAGGGACGAGGCCAGATGTACACCTGCTCTCCATGGGACATCAGCTGTCCACACCACTCCTCCACTCAGGAACGGCTTTACGAAGGTGGGAGAATGTGTGAGTCACAGCTGGACAAGGACCACGGCCTCCCAGTCCCCAGATGACCCTGTCTGAGTAACTCTGGGCCTCAGCAGAGACCAGAAGCCACACTGAGGGGCCCACCAGCAATGTCCAGCCTTGGTCCTGCCCAGCTCCTGCCAGGTTCCCGGGACAATTTCCCAACAGCACAGGTTGGGAAATCCTAGAGTCGGCTATCCCTGCCCCTGCCTACACAGGCTATCCCATGGCAGATTTCTCTGTAGGTTCTTATCAAGCAGCGGCCATCCACCACCTCTCCTGTTCAGCTCCCGTATCTTCAGGTGCTGGGCACCTGTACCCTGAACCTCCCAGTACCCCTTTGCCCCTTGGATCTGCTCTAGGCTTCTGGCCAGCACTGATCCCACATCTTTCCAGCCACGAAGAAGTCCCAGGTTGGATCCCAGCCTTTCTCCCCACCACAGACACCCCGGGTGGGGGGCATGCCAACTGTAGACCAATGGGGGGATCACTCCAGACACCCTGGGGGGGGGTACTCCCTACTAGGCATCCCAAAGAGAGAACACCAACTGTAGACACCACAAAGGGATCACTCCAGACACCCTGCGTGGGGAGCACTCTCCACCAGACACCCAGGCAGGGAGCATACTAACTGCAGACCCCACGCGGGGGGGATCACTCCTCATTGCAGACACCCTGTGGGTAGCAAGCCCCACAACAGACACCTGGGTGGGATGCACTGTCCACTAGACAGCCCAGGTGGGGAGCAGGTCCCACTGCAGACACTGAAGGGGCAGGGAGCACTCCTCCTTAGCTATCCCGGGGGAGCAGGCCACACCACAGACACCGCCTTCAGCATGCACTGCCTTCACCTACCCCAGGTGTGGCCCTCCATTCATGAGGTCGAAGACCTGGGCCGGGTTCAGCAGCTGCTTGAATCGTCTCAGGAACTTCACGCCCTGGTTATCGCCGCTTTTCGAGTTGACAAAGACCAGCAAGGGGCTCGTGCAAGATGGAGGGCATGTGGCCTTCCAGAATCCTGGGTAAGGACGGAGAGAAACAGCGTGAGGGCCAAGGGCACTGGAGTCTTGTTCTAAAAGGCAACTCAGAGGTGGGCGTGGGGGCTTGCAAATGTTGTGCAAAAACAGGATGGGAAAATCATGAAAATTTTCCAAAGTCTTTTGATCCCCCTCAGACCCCTTACCCACAGTCTCAGTCAGCGTGAGGTTGGCAAACACATTTCCACAGCACCACGCCCCCCACCCAGCTAGACTTCACACTCTCAAGGATTCCAACTTTCAGAGGGCGTCCCCACCTGGTGCGAAGGTTACCATACTTGGCTGCTAACCCCAAAGGTTGGTGGTTCAAATCCACCCAGAAGCACCTGGGAAGAAAGGACTGCTGGTGTCCTTCTGAAAGCCCCACCCTGGGCAGTAGTGGGCAGTGCACTTCTACTCAGCACACATGGGGTCACCATGAGTCAGTTCAGAGGCCCCTGGTTTCTCACGGTTAGAGGGTCTTCCCTGGACTGAGAAACCTCCCCAGTGTCCCACATTTCTATGAAAACCCTCCCCATGCATCAATCCCAGGACTGTGTTAGAGCAGGTGTGTAAAAGTGTGCGGGTGGCTATTAGTCGGAGATTCGAACTGGTCACATCAGAAAAAGAATGCTCACTGCCCAGTGCCAAGTCAAACTGCCCACCATTGAGTCAATTCCTACTCAATAGTGACCCAGAGGGTTTCCAGGGCTGTAGATCTTTCAAGGGAGAAGACTGCCTCATCTTTCTCCCATGGGGCAGCTGGTGGGTTCAAACCACCGACCTTTCTGTTGGCAGCCAAGCGCCAGCAGGGCCCCCAAAACAAGGGAAATGTCTCAAGAGTTTGGCTTCTTCTTAGTCCATAGCCACCATGATCCATCACCTTCAAGTACAACAGGGGCTTCCTGTCTCGGTGGGGGTGGGTGTCAGCAAGCACCATGTCACCACACACCACCACACCCCAGGCTGCACCTGGCTTCTTGTTGAGAGCACCCCAGTACCACAAAGTGACCCAGTCAAAGAGGAGGAGAAGAGGCTGGCGAAACAGACCTGAGAAAGTGGACACCTACCATCTGAGTCAATGCTGTTGAGGGCCGTGGGGGGGATGACAGACACTTTGCACAGGCCCAGCGGGCATTTGGTCAGCAGCGACTCCTTGCACGCCGTGTGCACCTGCAACAAGGGGCTGCTCATCACAGGGGGGCAGGAGGCACCAGCAACCTGCTGACCATTCTGAGCCTGGGGCCTCTGGAACCTGCTCAGCCTGTGCCCCTAGCGAAGCTCGTGAGGAAGATGTGTGACAAGTAAGAGGGGAAGGAGGAAGCCCAGCAGGTGGATGAGTGGGGTCTGGGCAGTGTGGGCTGTGTGGGCTGTGCTCCTGGCCCCAGAGATAACTGTGGTTCTACCCGGACAGACAGAACCAGAACCCAAGCCCAGTGCCTCGAGTACATCCCGACTAGGCCCAGCCCTGGACAGCGCGTCCTAGACTCTAAATCTTTGTGGGAGCACTCAGCCTCATTTTTCTCCCTTGGAGTTGTTGGTGGAATTGAACCACCGACCTTGTGGTTGGCAGCACACACAATCATTATCCCGCAGCACCACCAGGCTGTCTAAATTCAAAACCACAGAACTGTTCTCTGAGCATTTCTCCATGACTAGAGCCCTAGCCTCGGCTCCTTGCAGCCTTCTGGTCTCCTCACTGCCAGACCAGGTACCACAACCACTGCTGAACACAGACTCTGGAACCCATCCAAGTGCCCACCCCCTGGCAGGATCCTCCCGTGTGCAGAGGACCCCAGGCATCCACTCCCCAACAGCAGCAGGACCCCGCCCCACCACCCGCATGCCGCTCACCATGGCCTTGCACCAGAGGCAACGCCAGTCCTGCAGACGCAGCACGCTGCCACAGGTCTTGTCACACACCGTGCACTTGGCGCTTACGGGCAGGTTCCCTTCCAGCCACTGATGCGGCATGGCAATCTACAAACCAAGGGCAGGGGGCTCCAGACCCGACACCTCCCCACTAGGGCACCCTCGGATGGCGCCCAGACATTTCAACGTGTCCCTGAAGCCGGCATTACAGCAACCCTGCCCACGCTTGCTGCCTACCTCCCCTGCCAGGAAGGGGCCAACGCCCTCATAGGGAGTGGGGGGGGGGGGGCTCAAGAGGGGAACGGGGACCTGCAAACCCACGAGCCCCCTGTGGTCTCCCCTCACCATACCCCGTCTTCGTCCTCAATGATGTCCTTCCCAATGGAGGCCAGCGTGGTCCACTTGCAGTTATTGATTGCACGCACAGCACAGCGTTTGTGGGCCTTAAATTTGCACACTGGGGGTGGGCGTGGGGAGACAGGTCAACCTGCCAGCCCTGCAGCCCTGAACTGGACAGCTAGGCTGAGCAGAGGGCGATGCGGACGAGTCTGGCCTCCCAGGGCAGGTGGGGGGCGAACCAACCGTACGCCCGTGATGACAGAGGAACCAGATACGCCAGCAAGGAGACTGGGTGTCCAGTTCTGGCCAGGGGCGGGAAAACGCTCTGCATGGGGCCCAGGGGTACAGAGTCTGGGCTTTGGGCTTTGGCAAGTGAGACGGTCACTGTTCTAGTTACGATCTGTCATAACAACTGCCAAGTGGACCTCCGAGACGCAGAAATCCATTTAAAAATCAAACATGCCTTTCTGAAGCTTGAGGGGCTATACAAATACAGGAGGTGGGTGGCCACAGTTTGCCAGACCTGGCTCTAGTTCAGAGCTCTGGCCACTGGGCTGGACCTCACTGCCTAGATATTATAACTGGGCTCTCAGTCAATCCACACATCCAACTAACTCAAATCGGGGAGGCAGAGTGCAACACCTCACTATGGCTCCTGACTGCTTCGGCCCTTCCTTTCACTTGGGTCAATTCCAGTAAAAAGTCAGGATCACGGGCTCCCTCAAGGAGCAAAACAAACGAGACGAGAGCCATGGGATCGCTGTTTCCCTGAATTGCGCCCTGGGACCCTTGTCTGCATTTCCCAGACCTCCCTCACCCTGTGTCCTCACCCTCGCAGGATAGCCCGTGGGAAGTGACCCCGGACAGCGCCTCGCGGCACACGTTGCAGTACGTTGGCCTGGCGTGGGAACAGGCGTACCAGTTGTGCGTCCCTGAGAAGTGGTCCATGCTGTATTGGGTGGGCTGCAGGGGACACAGGTAGACAATCTTCAGTGTGGTGAGTAGGCAGGACTAGAGTGAGCCCCCTGAGAGAGGAGGGATGGGCGGTTCATAAAGGACAGGGCCACAGTCTGCTGAGAGGGCACTGGTGGTGGCGGACCACTGGGGCGAGGCGTGTGCAGAAGGGCATCTCTCAGGTCTCACCTCAAAGTGCTCCCTGCCCTGGACAGTCTTCAGGGCCGCGATCCAATCCTCCATTTCTTTCCTGTTGTCGGCACACAAGATGAGCTTCCGACACGGGGTGATGACCTAGAGAAGAGGCAGCATTGTAGGTGTCGCCAGGGACATGGCCAGGTGCCAACAACCATCAGCATGAGACAGACCACCACATCAAGACGACAGTTTTAGGAAAGGGACAGCTTCGTCCAGGAGTGCACACTGAGGAACAGAACCTAGAAATGGCTCTCAGGGCCCTGAGAACAATCTCAAACCAGAAAGATGACCAATCTGGCTTGTATGTTCATAACCAGAGTAGACATCCACCAACTGACCCCAAAGCAGCCCAGCGCCACTGAATCACTGGGACTCACAGCACCATAAGAGAACCACCCTGTGTGTGTGTGTGTGTGTGTGTGTGTGTGTGTGTGTGTGTGTGTGTGTTGCATGCCACTAAGTCAAGTCCAACTCATACACAGGACAGAACTGTCTCAGAGGCTGTCCAAGGTTGTCCATCTTGAACGGGACATCTTTCTTCCATGGAACCACTGGTGGCTTGGAACTGCTAACCTTTTGGTTATTAGCAGCTGAGCACTTCACTATCGTACCACCAGGGAGCAAAGAGAAAAGAAGAAAACTCCTATTAGGCAGTTAAACAACAAACCAAGAACCCAGAGAGCTCACAGATGGAGGGCTGGTCCCCGGGATGGCCTAGGAAGGTCCACACTGGCTCCAGGAGAAATCACGGTTTGTTTCAAACACATCATGTATCAGTGAGCTTGGAGAAAACCTCTGAACATCTGGCAGCAGAATATCATGTGATGCTGTGGGTTAATGTACCAGACTGCGAAGCCGTCTGAACCGCAAGGTTGGTGGTTCAAGCTCACCAGCTGCTCCTTGGAAACCCTATACAGGGTCGCTATGGGTCAGAATTGACTCGACTAGCACCTAACAACACCACTACCACTAGGGTCCAAAGAGCTCTCATAGTGGTTACACATCGGGCTACGAACCTCAAGGTCAGCAGTTCAAAACTACCAGCCATTCCGTGGGAGAAAGATGAGGCTTTCTGCTCCCGTAAAGATTTACAGCCTCAGAAATCCTGTGCAGGGTCACTATGGGTCAGAACCGACTGGACGGCACTTCACAACAACAACTAGGGTCCAGGTCAGGAACCTGGTAAACCACTAACAAACGAAAATGGCATCCACACAGATAACATTTTGACAAATCAATATGGAAAAAAATTGAAAAAAATAAAAAACAACACCCCACCCCCCACCCCAATGAGGCTAGAACTCCTGGTGTAGTGCTGTAGCATTAGCACTGGTTTGTGAACCACAGGTCGACGGTTCAAACCTACCAGCTGCTCCTGGGAAACCCTATACAGGGTCACTATGAATCGGAACAGACTCGGCGGCATTTAACTACAACAACCGCAGTTACACCACAACAGAACAGCAATATGGCATCCTCGAGGGAACCAAGTCATATCCCCTTTAAATGTTCTTTGAGTTTGGGGAACAAAAAGAAGTTTGCAAGGGCAAGATCAGGGTTATAGGGTTGGTGGGGTAAGATTTCCTAACCCAATTCTCATAAAACATCCCTTGCTACCCTTAAAGAATGTGCAGGTGTGTTGCCAGGATGGAATGAGATGCCTTGGCACTATGTTTCCAGCCTTTTCCTCACCAACGCAGTTATCTGTTTCTTTAAAACATCCTCATAATACGCCCTCTTGATCATCCTGTGTCATTCAGGAAAATATACGGAAATGACCCCTTCAGAGCCCCAAATATAGGCGCATAACTGAGCTGATCTCTCTGTTCTGAATTCGATTGGCCCAACAGATTCCCTTAAAAGCCAGTTTTGAAGGCATCCTGATTAAACTGAAACACACGTAGTACTGAGAGAGCTTATCTGAGCCATCCACTGATCACGGAGACACACTTAAACACGTTTGATTTGGAATAAACCTTGGCATGTATGAACTGGAACCCTAAGAGCAATATTTTTCAGCTCTGGTAGCGTAGTGGTTACAAATCGGGCTGCGAACCTTAAGGTCAGCGGTTCGAAACTACCAGCCGCTCCACGGGAGAAAGATGAGGCTTT